AGGCCCCATAGACCCGTGCAGCTCGCCATAGCCAGTCAGGGATATCGAGTGCAGCATCTAGTGTATACTGTTGCCCCTGCTCTTCCTATTTCCCCCCCTTTCGGTCCTCAACCCTGGCCGCCAGATTGGGGTCCTGCGAGGGGTTTGGTGGAGCGCTGTGTCGAGATGGCGGGGGATGAGAAGACCGATCCAGGGGTAGTGCATCACTTGCTTAGCACCAGTTGGGGCAAGTTTGCCCAGATCGCTGCACGGCATATCAGTACTTGCACTGGGGGCGCGAAAGATACCTTCGGCAGTTTCGGGCGCCAAGTTGCACCGCGCTGGGTCAATGTGGAATATCCCGTGCCAGACGACACTGAAAAATGTTTAATAGCTGATGGGTGGCAGTGGCTTCGCAACGCAGTCCAACACCTAGGCCAGTTAGCTGATTTAGATGACATGAATGAGCATACACAGCAAACGATGCTTGCCGAGCTGGCGTTTTTTCGTGATAATGACTATCCAGGGCTCGGTTTGAGCGCTCGGTTAGATTATTCGGTTCAGCAGGCCCGCAAGATGCTGTGTTCTGAGTTCTTTCGTGAGAATGTGGAAGAATTTCTCGAAGACATTGCTGAGGACGTCTCTGTGGCCGTCAAAGGTGCATCAAAAGAGATCCAGACCAGCTGGAGTGATTGGTGCAAGACTGCCAGCATGGGGGGAGCGCGGGGCCTTCATAGGGTCACGAAGGTTCGGAGTGTTGTTTTGCCTACGGTTGTGCACGACCCTAAAGGCCCCAGTGCTGATCCCCACAGTGTCGCGCAGCATGAGCTGCAGATTTATCGCAAGCTCTGGCGAGCGACCGCCTCCCCACCGGTTGCCTGGATTCCCGATCGGTCCAGTTTCCCGAGGGCGGCTCCGGGTGAGGTTCGTAAGGTGATCCAGAGTTTTTCGGAATCTACAGCTAGGTCCTTGGATCAGTTTCATCCGAGGCATTTCTTGTTGCTCGACGACGACGGATTAGATTTGCTAGCAGGTTTGTGGCAGTGTTGCGAGGCGATTGGCCTCTTACCTAAGCAGTTGCTGTGGGTGCTCATGCCAATGCTGCCTAAACCGTCGTCTGGGCATAGGCTCATAGTGCTTTACAGCGGTATGTATCGCATCTGGCAAAGGCTGCGGCGGCCTATGCTAGGATCGCTTATGGAGGAGGTGGAGCGTGGGTACTGGGGGGCTAGTCGGGGGAGGAGTTCTGTGGACTGTGCCTGGGCACAGGCAGCGCGAGCTGAGGCTGACGTAGTCTCGCGCCGCTACAGTGTGCTCATTATCGCCGACTATTCGAAATATTACGAAACGATCCCCCTTGTGGAACTTCGGGACAAGTTTCTTGCGTTTAAAGTACCCACTGCATTTTTGAAACTCGTTTTCAATGTATGGAGGGCTCCTCGAGTGCTACGTCTCAGACAGCACCACTCTGAAGGGGTCGCACATGCCGAATTCGGGTTACCTGCAGGCGATTGCTTCAATGATATCAGCATCAAGGTGCATGCTGTGAAGTCTTTCGATCAGTTTGTTGCTAGCCAGCCGACACTAGTCAATTTCACATCGTATATTGATGACTCGGGCATTCAGATTTCCTGTGGCCAGAGACAGAGTGCGGTGCAATTAGCAGTCGATGCAGGTCGTGCCTTTTATCACGCGAGCAGGCAGATAAATGCAGCAGTTAATGATAAAGTTGCTGTTGTTGCCAGCGATATTTCACTTGCACGCGACGTCGTGTGTGGCTTAGGGCTTGAGCCCAAGGTTGCGAAGCAATCGGTCACATATCTTGGCGTAGATGACAGTGCTGGTGCCAAGCGCTCTGCTGCTCGTGCGCGTGTAAAACAGCGGTCCCGCCTCTGGGGAATGAAGCTGCGAGTGAAAAAGATCGGCAGGTTTAAGTCCCGAGCTCCGAATAAAGAGACCAAGAAAGGTCTCTCACAGGTCATTCGCACGGGTGTTGCTCCTGCTTCGTCGTACGGTTCTGAGGTTTTGGGCTTTTCGGATGCTGAGCTTAACACTGTGCGAAGGACCCAGGCTCGTCGGTTGCCGCCCTCCCATGGAGGGACCAGTGCCACGGCAAAACTCGTTTTGTACGGAGAGTGGGACACACGAGCTGCCGTTGGCCCTGCTCTCCAGTGGTGTCGCATGTTGTGGAATGCCCAGGTCAGTCCCAATCGATCCCTGATCCCTTTCCAGGAGTTGCTTCAGCTTTGGGAGCAGGCCAGGGCTAGCGAGGCTAGCGATTGGAAGTCCAGCCGTGGCCCCCTTGCGCGTGCCACGTTGTCGGCTCGACGTGCAGGCTGGAAAGTGGTATCAGGCACGCAGTGGATTGACCATTGGGGCTGCACAGTAGATGTGAGTAAGACTCCCCCTCGCCTCCTCCTCGATCTCCTCCGAGAGGGATTGCAGCGAGAAGCGGAGCTTCGTTTTGCACGCAGGTTAGGGCACGCGCACGGTATGCGAGCCACTTTCGACCTTGTGCGCAATTGCATGTGTACGCGTAATAAGCAGCACACGCGTCAGCAGCAGTTCCTTCTCTTGTCGTGCGCCACGGATGCGATATGGACCGAGGCGCGCGCGTGTGATGCTGGTTACCTCACGGATGGCATGTGCGTGTGCGGCCAACGTGACACGTTGCACCATAGGTTGTACACCTGCACGCGTCCTGAGGTGGTGGAGGCCCGACAGTCTCTAGACATTCCGTCGGAAATTTTGAACGAGGGGGCACACAGCGATGATCCTGTGTTTACTCGTGGTTTGTTCACGTTCTCGGATGAAGATGTGCCCCCTCCAGCCACCCACGCTCATTGTGACATCCTCGACGGCGCAGGTCAGGATTTGAATATGCAGCCTGAGGAGCTCGCCACGCTTGCAGGTGATGTGATCGAGCTTGAGATGGCCTCCGACGGCAGCTGCACGAAGCAGGCCCTCCGCTGTCTCCATCGTGCCTCGTGGGCGATCGCCCTCATGGAGCCAGGCAGCGAATCGCTTCTTGCCATCTTGAGGGGCATTGTTCCTGGCGGTCTCCCCCAGACCCCTGCGATGGCCGAGCATGCGGGGGCGGCCCTGGTCGGGCAAGTTTCAGATCGCCCCGCGTCGTTGGCCCTCGATTGTAAAGCTGTGATTTGTCAGACGCAGAGGCCCCTCTGGAAACAGCTGAGTGGTTCCAATAAATTTGCTGGTGCGAGGCGGTTTGCCCATGAGCTAGCAGGCACTGAATTTCTGTCCACCTTCCATGTAAAGGCCCATCGAGAGCTCTCTGCCCTTGAGGACTTGGAAGGTGATGATCGTAGGTTTGGTTTTGCGAATCGTGCTGTGGATGAGCATGCCAAGAAGGCCCTTGAGGGCCATCCTCGGCCCCTGCCCACCTTTTTGGACCACGTTGAGCTGTACCAAAATCGAGCCAATGCGTTTATAAAGCTTGCTTCCGAAGTTTTACCCCTCTTCAAAAATGAGGTGCGTTGGAAGCGAGCTGCTTTCACAACCCAGGGTCGTAGTCGTCAGCAGAAGACCTGGCACCTCTGGAGGAGAACCGAACTGGGCATGCAGTGTCGTTATTGTTGGACGGTGTGTGATCGACCCGATCGGCCCATTTTCGGGTGCAGGGGACCGCCTCCTGCTCTCCAGAAGCTGCTGCGCGATCCCCTTGGGCACCAACTCGTCGCCGTGTCGGGCTCGGTTCTTGATGCTCCTCTGTCGGACCTGGTTCTGGGCCCCTGCCGAGAGCAGCAGATTCTGTGTTTGAAATGTGGGGGTTGGTCCCAGGGTAGAGCCCTAAAGCTCGCTGAGGTCTGTGGTAAGCCAACGCGGAAAGGACTGGACGTCCTGAGCCGTTTTCGTCGTGGGCTTGGCCCCAACATGAAGATCAAGGCCTTGATTGAGAAGGCGTTGCCTGTGTCAAGGCTCGATGTTGCCCTTGAGTCGGATGATAAGCCCGAGCTGTGTGTTACCTCAGTCCCGCGAGCATTTGCGGACTCTCCCTCGGCCCCCACTTATGAGCAGCGAATGGCGTCCCTGGTCGCCAGAATTAAAGCTAAAGAAGAGGCAAGAGCCTCCAGGGCGGTTTAACTCGGGTCGATCCCCCCAAGCTTTTGGTGCTGTCACCTCCCGACCTTTCAAGGCGCTGTCCATCCATCCATCCTCGCGGTCGTCGTGGCGGTCATCGTCATGGCGGTCGTGGAGGTGCACCAAGAGGTAGGGGAGAGAGCCTCGATACGCCCGTTTTGATACGCAATACGTCCCGTGTTCAAGACGTCCGTGTCAGTACGTTGCGTGCTGGCTTCACGTACTGGGCCACGTTTTGGCAAATGTATCGCGTAGAACCTACGTTTTCAGCCTGCGTGTCGAGCTCCGTGTCAATACGCTACGTGTTACGTGTTGCGTATCGGGGCAGCTAAGTTGTGCAGGTTTCTCTTCCTCTGCGCTTCGCTTCCTCCTCCCCCTCCTCACCTCGTCCACCCCGCCCTCCTTTCCCCCCGCCCGTCCTTCCCAGGCATCCGATGCCTGAGTTGTTCAATGCGTGCTCCAGTCGCTTTCGAACGGCCCCAGGGGCCGGCGAGGGCCCCCGGGTGCCGGAAACAGCGACGCGAGCATCTCTGGGTTCTGACCTTCAGTCGGGCGTGTCCCTCTAAAGGGGCAATCTTCCAAACTTAAAAAATAGTCTGGGGACGATTTTTGATTACGTTTTCTTGACCACTTGGGAGTCTTGCTTTGAGTACTTCTTCTTTTTCGTCCAAAACCTGCCTGTAGGGGGACATGCCCGACCTGATTCAGGAGGGACAGAAATCACAGACACAATGATTCGTCGATTCCCCAGAGAGTATGGGAAAAGATGGGAAGTGGGGGGGAAGACAAAAACCCAGAAAATATGGAAAATACGGGGAATCCTGTTATTTGTGTCTATGTATGTGTGTGTCCCAGGGCCCCTTCACTAATTCTGGCCCTCGCTCACCCACCCCCCCCTCCGAGCCCCCCGGCGAGGGGAGGTGCCCCGCTCGACCTGGGACGCCGGCGCATGTGCCGCGGACCTGCGCGACACGCACCCTGGGCGCGCAGGGGACCACAGCGACGACGACAATTTTCAGGCGATCGCAAACCCAGAGATCCAACGTCTTGAACAAAAATCAAGACTAAGGTTTTTATCAATTTTCGGCCTCTAGGGGCCCTCGCCGGGCCCCGGGACTGTCAAAAAACGACTCAGGATGGAAAACCGGTCCTGGGGAATGTGTCGAGATTTCGGGCGACCGCGTATAGAAAAATACACGACATCGGATCTCTGGGAACATCGATTTAAGGAGGCGTGGATTAGCGGCGGGTCCCGTTTCCATGGGAAATCGTGGATGTCCGCCGCCGAGCGAGGCAGCACCGGCCGCATTTTGGGGAGGGCGCCTCCCCCGATCCATGGATTTGGCGGCCGCACGCCAAATCCATGGATCGCTAATACATGCTTGCGCGCCCCCGAACAAAGACGGCGAAGGCGGCGACGACCACGACGACGACGACGACGGCAACAACGACCGCGACGACGACCACGACGACGACGGAGGTGGTGGCGACGACCACGAAAAGGACTACCGCGGCGGCGGCACCGACGATCCCGACGACGACCAGGACGACCACGGCGGCGGCGCCGACGATGATGACGAGTTGGGACGACGATGCAGAGTTGGAGATCCAGAGTCCCCGCCGGCTTTCCTCTTTCACATACAGGCCAGGCGCGGGGCTGTGCACTCCTCCTCATCAGTCTCAGGTGCGATGCCTGAGGGGCACTGACCTTGCACGCCAGTCCGCGTCGCAGCTGTGGCGCTGCCCTCCTCGCTTCTCTGCCTCGTCTTCGGGGTGATCCTCCTCGACTCATTGACTCCCTCTTCGCCCGCAGCCTGCGGTGCAATTTTCACATAGAATTAAGCCGGGCATGTCCCACCACAGGAGGAATTACTTCAAGAATAGTTAAGACGTAGTCTGGGAACGACGTGTCCATTATTCTTTGACTTTTTTGTTGCATTTTCTGCTTCATTTCAACTTCTTCCCAAACCCGCCTGTAGGAGGAAATGCCCGACCTAGACGTAGAGGCTCGGGCAGAGCGCAAGCTGGGCGCCCCCTCGCTCGCCGATTGGCAGAGTGACGAGTCGACATGGGGTGCGTTCGCCCAAGAGCAAGTGAGGAGCGGGGGGGAGGAAGAGAGGATCGAAGGAGGAGGAGGAGGAGGAGGAAAGAAAATGTGCCGATTCCACTGCCCTTCCCTGGTGCTCGGCCCTTTGGGCCTCCTGGGAGACTCTCGTGGCCAGGGCTCGATTCGCCTCGAAGCTCTGGTCAGAACGTACCCAGGGAGAGATCCAGGGAGCAGCGGTATCGGTACATCTTGTGGTTTCCCCAGAGCAGGAGTACCCTCGCCGCCGCTGCGGTGGCCGCGTCGTTGCAGCGCGGCGCCGAGGGAATTCGAAGATCCAGCGCCCACCTGCAGCGACATGCAGCTTTGTCGCTGCCACGGTAAAGTGGCGGGCGCTCGGAGCCCTTGGTAAATGCATGAATGAGTGGCAGCTGCCGACGCACACAACCTTTTCGTGTTCGTGCATCCCCAGCGATGTCACATGCAGACCTCCCAACGTCTTGAGAACCCCAATACGAAGGCTTTCCAAGGCTGAGGAGCCTTTGGTTTGAAAACAAAGCGCGGCATCGGAAGTTTGGATCCGGCCGTCGGCTCAACCTTGCATGCCTCCCTGTTCTCTTCGACAGTGACAGGATTAGGTTACGTCGCAGCCACGCGGGTTCATGAGCCGATGGTTTTTGCTGCGGCTGGTAAGAGGGATAGTTCGCTCCAAAGCGAAACAGGCTCAATGAGTCCACGGCCGTTGCTGCGGGTGCCAAGGCATTGGCGTGTCCCTCTCTGCGCAATGTTGGCCCGAAGGCACAAGCGTGACACTTTCCTCTTCGTTCTCCGTCTCCTCGCGCCCCCCCATTCCCTTCCCCTCCGCCCGTCCTTTTTTATACATTGACCTTCCGACGGCTATACGGACCGCACCAATGTTCAGCGCGCTTGGCACCGCAGCGTCTGGCGGTGGATGAGGATCTGCCCGTGGTGCTCTGTGGCATTGCGTTGCCATGAAGACGTTGCACTTGCAGAAGCGCCAGCGCCAGGGGTAGCACTCCAGACCTCCAACGTCTTGACATATGCCAGGCGGAGCTGGTTCAAAGCTCTGGGGCCTACGGGTTGCAAGCGTAGGGCATCGGAGGTCTGGATTTGGAAAGCAGCAGAGGTTTCGGGCATGAGGCTTCAATTACACGGCGTTGCAGACACGAGGTTGCCAGGACAGGACTTGCTTCATGAGAACAAGTTGTACCAGGATTTGCGTTGTGAGACCTAGCTTAGCTTCTCCAAAGCGGCCGACGGACCCCTAAAGGGACGCCATGATGGCCCCACGAAAGCCCAAGACAACCAGAGTTGGCTTTTGGGCGGCTCCGAGCAGCCGTGACTCCCGCCTTGTGGGTTCAATGAGCGACACTGAGCTTTTTCTGCCATCGGAATAGCAAATTGTAGTCGCTGTGATATTGCGTGACTCATCGGAACGCAATCGTTGTTGATTGTTAGCTGCTGTCCACGAGTGTTGGTAACGCGATGCTGGCACTGGCTACCTACCAGGCTGGAGGACACGGGAGGGACCTTTTCGGAGGCATCTTGGAGGCGTTGTTGCGGCTTCTTGGGGGTCGGTTTGGGACCTCTCCTTTTGTTCTTTTCGGTGGCCTCTAGGGACATCATGGGGGCCTCTTGGGAGCATCTTGGGGCCTCCTGGGGGTTTCTTGGGGCGGAAGGCTGGGATGTTCGGTTCGTGTTCCCTCTCTTGAGCCCCTCTTGGGCCGTCTTGGGCGCTTCTTGGGCCGTATTGGGCTTAGGCCGTCCTTGGGGCTCGTTTGGAGGCCTCTTGGAGGCCTCTTGGGCCGCCTTGGGGTGGTCTTGGGGGCCTTGTACGAGAACGCCGAAATCAATTACAGGCCTAAGGAGCATCAATGGTTTACTCAATGGTTGTTGATTCTTCGGGGTCCTCTTGGAGGCTTCTTGTGGCGCCTTGGAGCCCTCTTTGGCCATCTTGGGCGTCTTGGAGCGATCGTGCGGCGGCTCGAGGCCTTCTTGGACTCACGGGAGGGTTCGGGAAGTCGCTTTGGGGGGCACAGCGTCCACAGAAGGCGTAGGGAGCACCTCAGAACTCACGGGAACCAGCCCTGAAAACCCTGGAAAAGTTAGGGGAACGATTGGTACCGACCGCGAAAGACTTACAGTACCCGTTGCAGCAGCAGCAGCAGCAGCAGCAGCAGCAGTACAGCGTCTGCCTCTTAGTGCTGCATGAGCCTTGGGGCACTCCACTTCGTGCCAGAAGCACAGTGGCGGATCCGCGCAAGTCTTTGACAGTGAGGATGGTTTCCTCCTTTTTCTCTTCCTTCCTCCCCACCCTGTATACCTAGTCCTGGCCATTATATTTTGCTCCTGCTCCTCCCCCGGCTCTTCCTCCCCTACATCGATTCTCTTGCTCGGCCGTCAACCACTGGACATCCTCATCGATCTTCGATGCTCCTCGATCCTACATCCCCGGGGTGCCTGGAACGACGGTTCGAAATCTTGATCCGACGCGTATGAGACAATTGCCGCGTGATCCAATTAAGTTTGCGCAGGTCCAGGTGTGGTTTTAAGTTCGAAGGCCAAAGCGCCCATCCCTAGGACGAGCGTTTTCCTTTTGGGCCAGAAACACGGTTTGAAGACTGGAGCCGACGCGTATTAGATAACCGCCGACGGGTCCAACGAAGTTCGCGCGGATCCCAAGTGGTTGTGTTAGTGTTTCGGTGGATACGATTTCCGCCCGCACGGCCTCGATTTCGGATGTTGTGGAGCCGATGTCCGTCTTGCATTTTCACGCAGATCTGAGTTCTGCCCCGTATTTAATTGAAAGTCTTGAGCATAAACGGGGAATTTGCAGAAGTCGGACCCACGGGCCCCGCAACCGCAACCCGCCCGCGTGAAGATTCTACGGGGGAGGTGGGTCATTTTTACAGGATGGGTCCTGCGCTGTGTCGCGCACTCCCATGAGCTCTCGGGGCGCGCGGGCCCCACTCAACATGAAAACATATCTTCTCCCCTCGGTTGCTGAAAGCAGCTGGATCCTGCTCCTCCTTCTGGATCCCGACCCTCCTGGATCCCGCTCCTCCTCGACCCTGGATACATGAAGCAGACCCCGCCCCTCATGGATCCCCGGATACATGACGCAGACCCCGACCTTCCTGGATCCCGCTCCTCCTCGATCCTAGACCTCTCCTCGTTCATCGATCCTCCTCGAGACTGTTTTTGTGAAAAGTCTGGCGATGACTTCACTGGATAACCTGACGTTGTCGGGTGCGAAGCTCCGAGGGGGGTGCGTCGTGCTGGTGTGCGCGGGCGCCGCGGAGTTGCCCAAAGCGGGCAGGTTAGGTTATCGGCTGGCACCCCCGTGTCCCTTCCCCCCGGCTAACCTGGCTTATCACTTAAGAATACAGCAGATTTTCCTCGACCATTGATCCTCCTCCTCCTCCTCGGCCGTCGACCCTCATCACCCTCGTCAAGAGTGAGGAGGGTCGAAGGCCGAAGTCGAGGGATCGAGGAGGAGGCTCGAAGTGGTCGAAGATCCCTCGACCTCCCAGAGCCGCCCCGAAGACTCCCCGAGCCTCGACCTCCCCGAGCCTCCTCGACCACCTCGAGCCTCCTCGACCTCTTCGAGCCTCCACGACCCCTCGAGGAGGACGCCCGACGACTCCTCGACCTCCTGGAGCATCCTCCTCCTCGATCCCCCTTGGAGCCTGTTTTTTTAGACTCTGGCAAGTTTACTTGCATGGACGGGGGGGGGGCTGAGCCTGAAGCAAGCCTGGGGGGTGGGGGGCGCGGAAATCACCCAAGTCGACAGGCACTTGCACGCTAGTATTCGCTTGAAGAGGGGCGAGGGGGGTGGGGTGGGGTGGGGGGGGGGGGGGGGCGAACGCCATGCAAGTAAACTTGCCTAAATCAAAAAAAAACAGGCTCTTGGCCGAGCCCCGCCCGACCGCGGGGGCAGGCCGGCAGCGCGGGGCGCCGACGCGGCGTGCGGGCTGCCCATACTCCGGAGGCCCCTCCGGGCGACGGCGGCCGCCGCCGCCGTTTGGGGCCGGCCTCGCGGGGCGGGCGGGCGGGAGCACCTCCTCTTGTTCCTCTTCCTCCTCCTCCTCCTCCTCCTCCTCCTCCTCCTCCTTCCCTTCTTCTTCTTCCTCATTCCTCCTCCCCCTCCTTCTCCTCCTCCTCTTTCTCCTCCTCCTCCTCCGCCTCCTCCGCCTCCTCATCCTCCTCCTCCGCCCTTCGGGTGAGGCCTGGCACTTGTTTTCATGGTGTCAGTGCCGAGCACCCTCGGGGCACATTGTACACGGCACTTATTTCGCAGGTTGGGCGGGGTGCAACCGGCCGTTTTTTCTGGAACCGCGGGCTCTGGGGCTTGGGGTGGACGTTGCAAAACCTGTATTGACGGGTCTCCCGTCGTTGGGTGTAGCACGGCCCCAGTCTCAGCCTGGCCCTGCTGGTGAAGGCGAGTAGCGGCACCTCCAAAACCTGTATTGACGGGTCTCCCGTCGTTGGGTGTAGCACGGCCCCAGTCTCAGCCTGGTCTTGCTGGTGAAGGCGAGTAGCGGCACCTCTGCGGTCATTTCAATGTAATCTGACCCTCAGGGATCGGCATTTCCTCGGGAGGCGGTGGCTTGTGCCACGTGAGTCCCAAGGGGCCTTGTGCCCACCCAGGGCTGGGGAGCCTGTGCTCCTCAGTATGCCGTGCCAGCTGTTCCGACTGGGACGCCTTTGGCTCCCAACGCATCACGTCGGAATTGCTGGGCCGCGAGTCTTCACAGGCGACGCGTTCGCCCTTTATGCCATTCCTTCGCCGATGTTGCTGCTTTCCGGGCGGTAGTTCGTTGGCTGGGCGTGTGCAACACACAGCCGGCTTTCGGGAGACCGACCCTGGGCGCCGGATTCCTCTTCCTCCTCCTCCTCCTCCTCCTCCTCCTCCTCCTCCTCCTCCTCCTCCTCCCCCCCCTTCCTTCTTCTTCCTCATTCCTCCTCCTCCTCCTCTTCCTTATCCTCCTCCTCCTCCCCCCTCTCCTCACTTATCCTCCTCATCCCCCTCATTCCTCCACCTCCTCCTTGTCCTCCTCTTCTTCCGCCTCCGCCTCCTCCTCCTCCTCCTCCTCCTCCTCATCCTCCTTTTCCTCCTCCTCCTCCTCCTCCTCCTCCCTCCTCCTCCTCCTCCTCCTCCTCCATCCCCCTCTCCTCACTTATCCTCCTCCTGCCCCTCGTTCCTCCTCCTCCTCCCCCTCATTCCCCGCCCTCCTCCTCCTCCTCCTCCTCCTCCTCCTCCTCCTCCTCTTCCTCCTCCTCCTCCTCCTCCTCCTCCTCCTCCTCCTCCCCCTCCTCTTCCTCCTCCTCCTCCACTTCCTCCTCCTCCTCCTCCTCCTCCGCCTTCTCGGAGGAGGAAACCAGTGGCAGGGTCGGGGGCCAACACTTATGTACTCCGTCATGATATTATGTAATCAGCGCTTGTTAGTGTGGATTCTGGACTGATGTTTCCTCTCGGGGATTACGTGGACAGGGCTTCTCACAAAGGGACCCTCCTTCGTGGGGATTCTTCAATCTTGGTTTAGTATATGCCGAGCTTGCGCGGGGGCGACGTGGCATAGGAACATTCGGCGCTCGCAGGTGCCTTAGCCTCGTCGATGGGATCTGGCAATCGAATCCATTCCCATCGGAGGCCGACATGGAAACCGGTTCGACGCGATGCGTGTTCCCCCCCTTCTCCAAAGGGGGCGTCGGGAACCCGGCGTACGTCCTGTGGAGAGCGACGGGGAAGCTCGCCCCATTGGAAGGGGTTGAGGAAGCCGTTGTTCCCTGGTCGTTGTAGCCTTGTTGTTGTAGTTGCAGATGTAGTCGTCGTTTTCGTCTTCGTCGTCATCGTCTTCGTCGTCCTCATCTTGCCTTGGTCTTGAGAGCAAGGGGGGGCAGTCATGCTCGGGGGCGCCGAAGAGAGGGGGTGTGAGGATCTGGGTGGGGGGATATCCCGAACTGTGCTTCGACATCTACCCGATGCCAGGGCCCCCGCTTCTCCTTCCAGTGTGGTCGGAGAGAGGTGTAAGAACAGGCTTGGTTCGAGCAGGGTACTTGGAGGTTCGTCGGGATGTGTCCACGTTGTTGTTCAACATGGGGAAGGATGCCCTCGACGACTTGTTCAATCGGGTATAGCCAGGACCCCAGGTAAAGGGACCCGGTTAGTAATAGGGCCCAATAGCCCCTAAATTGGACAGAGTCACTAAACCAGGTCTGCCGTGGCTGTTTTTTTTTCGGGTGACGGCAGCTCCGGTTAGTGAAATGGGGCGGGGGAGCGTCCCCCAGCACACATCACTAAACCAGGTCCCACTAAACCCAGTTTTGCCAACGCCAGATTTGAGGCTCGAGC